ACATACATACATACATACATACATACATACATACATACGAAGCTTCAGCCTGACCACTTTCTCAGCAATTTTCCCCCAAAGGAGAAGTTGGATTAAAATTATCCAGAATTACGGGTTCGGCAATAGTTTCCTATGGTGAGGGCTGTGGAAAAATTTAGCTCTAGCACGGAGAAGAAGGATAAGAAAGAACAGGTTGCTCAGCTCTGGAAAAGTAGAAAGCCTGAAAAACAGAACAGCCTCATCTTGAGTTCTTTGTTAAAAAGGTGCAGTGAAGGTTTTGGACATGCTTTCAGGATTCAGGACCCTACAACAAAATAGCATTCCTGGAATCTCTGCATGTCTGTTCTTTGACCTTGCCTTTCCTGGTGCATCACTCTTCTTTGTCATACAACCATACCAGGTGGCTATTAAGACCTTGAAACAGATCCTTCTGAAAATCCCCAAGCTTCTTCTGAAATACCATTAGGGTCTCACATTCTAGTTATGTCTGAGGGAATGAAAGATGTTCAGGTTTCTAAAATGACTAATTTTTTATTTTCTTTCAGCCATAAAACATTCATAAATTGTTATATATATATATTTTCTTCCAGTCTTAAAATCAACATTCAGCTACTGTATAGTGAATTGTTGATTTGGATCTTAGTAACTCATTTAGTATTTTGTATAATTAATTGAGAAAGTGGGAAATAATTATCCAGATGGTGATAATGATTTATGCAGGAAATATTAACATATATTAGCATGCAGGAAAAAAACTTGTCTTTTCTTTTTTATTTAGAATTAAATATAGCTTAGCATCTCAAATTTTACAGATGTGAATTCTTTCTAGAAAAAAGTAACTTATTTTCCTATTTAAAAATAGCAATACATGTATGCATCATTATGTTTAATTTAACTTTTAGATTGCCTGAAATATCTGTACAATGTTTGCTATTTCTTGTGAAGATTGGATTCCTGAAAATGTTGTTTTCTTAATTGGCAAATACATGCATAGTAAATTAAACTCTGCTTATGTGCAACTCTTTTTGCAAATTTTAGAGCTTCTTTTATGACTAAAACAGTCCCTTGTGGGAATGAGCTTCATAAATTTCTAATCTGGGACACAGCAGGTCAGGAGAGGGTGAGTATGAGTCTTTTATCTAAAGACAGTTGCATGCCATATTTTGTATTGTTAATAAAGCAGAGGGAACCAGCATCTGTAACATAGATACTGAAGGTAAGAAGGCATGGTATGTTTATATTGTTTTAAACATCACAGTAATGTAGATTCTGTTTCAACAGAAACAGTTGTATAGTAGAGATTAAACAAACAGGACACCAAACCATCAACAGATTGACACTTCCAGAATCATAATAATATGCAGCCAAGTTCTAGTTCCAGGCTTCTGGAAAGATAAAAATTTTGAACTACTAGAGTCTTCTAATTTCTGCTTTCTCAGGATCTTCTAGGCTTCATCTAATGGCCCAATCTCTGAGCTATTTGCCATGTCTTTCTCTCTCCCTAATGCTGAAATGGTATTCTTATTTCCTACAATTGGCCTCAAAGGAAAGGTGAAAAGGTGTATACATGCTATACAAACTTGAATTTCCTTCCATACCGGTATCTTTAAAATCCAATGTACTTTCATCTGTTTCAAAACTGGTTCAGACTCTTCTGCTGTCTGTTGTGCACAGGCATGAATAGCAATACATCAGTTTAATTGGACCTTCACATATAGACCTGATCTTCCATGCCTGACAGTATGTGTTGTGAGCGTGCGTGTGTATGTGAGAGAGAATGAGAATATGAAAGGCCAGATGTTTTTCTCTTATGTTTTCTTGGGTCCTTGATTATTTAGCAAGCTCTATGACTTGAAAAATGATCTGTGTGGGAGTTAAGAAAATTATAAGTTCTAGTAAGTCTAGCAAGAATTACACTCTCCTTAGGACAGCTACTCTAAAAATGATGATGGGTCTCAAATTAGGCTTAGGAGATATTGGTTGGAATTCATTGGATGTGGCAGGAACAGGTAACCTTAAAACTACTGATTTGAGGGATGCACATTCAGGTGCAGCTATTCTTTATCTCTGTCTCTTCTTTTCTGTCTTTTTGTTTGTATACACACCCTCTTTTCAACTTGAAAATATTTGTTTGAAAGTAAGAAAGAGTTCTCTTTTTCCCAAGGTAGATCATAGGCCAAGATAGGGCATATTTAGATCCACAAATATGATTCTACTACTTTAGGAAGTATATTGACTACCATTGTTATCAACTTTAAAGAGCTGAATGGCAGAGTTTAAATACCTTCAGGACTTTCTGCTCTGGGCTGGATCTGCCTATCCTGCAAAAGCTGGAAGAGAAACATGTTAAGATCTCATCACTTGAGTGCCACCTATAGGAATCTACATGTTGTGTCTTCTCTGTGGTAGACCCGTTCTGTGGAACACTTTGTCCCTGATGTTCTGTTAACCTCCTTATGGAGCTTCAGAAGAGTCCTGAAAATCACAGTTCAGGAAAGCATTTGGGATTAATGAGGATGACCTACCCCATTGCATAAGAAAAAGTATTCTGGGGTGCTATGATTTTATTTCAATGCATTTTGTTACTTGATTTAAATCATTTACTGTTAGATGAGTAAACATAGGAGGGAAGATAGAAGAGATATTAATGTAACAGTGTTGTATTTTTTTGACTTACATAAGATACAACTTTTTGATTCGTTTTGTTCTGTGTTTCATAGTTTCATTCACTGGCACCCATGTACTATCGTGGATCAGCAGCAGCTGTTATAGTTTATGACATAACTAAGCAGGTGAGCTTACTCTTATCTCATTATTGACATTTATTCAAAAATTCAACTTAATAATTGCTCATTGTATTTTTCTCTCAGCATCCTCTGTGCTGGCTCAGAGAAGAAGCCACATAAAAGTTCATAAATCATATTTTTATAAGATTTGTAGACAGTATTAAATCAAGAAAATTAAAAGAACGTTTTATTTTAATCTTTTAAATTTGGGTAGGCAATCTTTTGAGATTGAGGGGTTTTAAAGATGACACTAAGTGTACTTTGAAACACTATTTTTTACATTATTTGTGCTGAATTTTAGCAGACACATTATGAAATGCTCCAAGGGCTGTAAACATATATTTTGGTCCATTTCTCATATAAATACAGTGTGAACTTTGCTGTGTCACTTCATAAAATAGTCAAATTCATTTTAGGCAGGTTTAGAGGCCTGCTTTCTGAATTTGGAATTTCAGTTTGCGAACTGTGATCTTTGTGAGTTTCTCTATTACTGAAAATCAACAAATGCCCCTAATTATAAAAAAAAATTGTATGAAATATGCAACATAGTGCCTTCTTTGTTTTTCATGCCCTGAGTAATAAACAGTAAAGTTTTCTGTCTAACTGAATCTAAATTTGCCCAAAATGTCAATATATAATTGATTCTCTAATTCTTTTATTGAGCTTTCCCATGTTCAAGCTTCTTACATGTTGCAATTTTGTCTTTTACACCTTTGGATTTCCTTTTTCTGTATTGAAACATCAGCAATTTGATGCCTGGAAGGCTTTAATCTAACTGTGTCATACACATACTCTGAAAGATCTTCAAGTTTTCTTCAGAAGCATGTTGAGTGCCACCTGACCTGAGGGGGCCTATCATCCATCACAACATTGACAGTCTCTTTATTTCTGTGGTTTTCTTGTTTAAATGTGCGAGTGGTTGTCTTTTCTCAGACAGTATGAATTGATGCCTTTGCCATTGTCATTGAAGTGATCATATGCCTGCATCATCTCCCTATATCAGTGCTGCCCAATATGGGTATCTGCTTATCTTACCAGAACTACTTGGGTGATTTTTGTGCTTTGGATGTCTCTGCTAGAAATACCCTTTGGGTACATACTCCTGTCCTGCTTCATTCATTGTCCAAAGAACACATACCAAACACACAACAATGCTGAGGTAACAGCATAATTGCAGTACGCACATTTTGCACTGGGTGGATGTAGAAATGAGAAAACAATTCCAATAATTTATTTTCTTAGAAACATTCTGCGTCTCCCTCAAGGCACTCCAGGCACTACTCATTTAAGAATAGACAAGGAGAAGGATTTAGTTAGAATAAATTAACAAAATCTTATCCTTTATATAACTGGAAAAGAAACATTCAAAAATACTCTGAGACATATATTTCTTCTCTCGCTAGGCACAGGAAAAACAACTTCATGACTTTTCCTTGATTGGTATGATAACTGACATAGATAGTTTGGTGCAATAAATGGAATGTTTAAATGGTATTATCATTTTAGGAAAAACAGATTAATTTTACAATACTTATCCACTCTCCTCTGTGCTCTGTTAAAGCATGACATTTATTAACATATTTAACTTCATTGAGGTCATTAACCAGCACAGTAATTTAACTGTACAAGCTATGCTTTTTGCATATTTCAGAAGAAAGCTTCCAGAAGATTTGCTCTCAGCCTCCAATTAAAGATAGCAAATACTGCAATCCACATTGTCAGTTTTATGACACAATGAATGCTGGGCTTGGATATTGATACGTTTACAGGTTCTGAAACTGAATGCATTAAAGATTTGCTAATGAATGTGATTGGTTATATTGGTTGCCATGACCATTTTTGCTTTATTATATTGCAAACTTCAGAAGACCAGACAATCCACATTTTTGAATGTATACAGTTAGAATAAGTCTTACTGTAGTTATAAAATGTAATGTCACAATATTTATTATAAATACTAAATCAAATTTGTAATCATATTTTTTAATTTTTTCTGTTATTTATTCATTCTGCACTGTTTTAAGCTTCATTGTTGATAAATAATGATTGATAAAGTATTGATCAATCATTATTGATAAAGTATAATCTGGTATTGCAATTAAAATCAATTCTGATTTTGACAGACAGCAATACAAATTAACCTACCTATTTTAAAGTACGATTAGTTAGCCTTATTGTACTTGAGGTTCCATTTTTCTCATTCTGCTGAGTAGACTAAGAATGGGTGTGTAAGTGTATGGGTGGGTGAGTTTGTGTGTATTCTTACTTACCACTAGCATTGCTTTTTATTTATATCCCATACTTTGCTACCTTTTGCAAAATACTGAAAAATTGAATATGTATTTTTGATTCCCAGAACATTTTTGTGAATGGTTTGTCTAATTAAAAACTGGATTATATGACTATAGTATATTGCCCTAGGTTTTTCTTACCATGAATAAGTCTTTCATTAATAAGCATGCCCTGAAAACATGAATGCTTTATTTGTTTCTCACATACTTATTTATATTTTTTGAATATATAGAGGGAGGAAGCATGTGATGTAGTTTTTTCTCTGAACATATATTGTTATAAGTCACAGAGTATCTCTACAACTTTTGTTGGCTGGCTGTGGCATGCTAGAAATATACATTTTATTTTGCTTGGTATTATAGATTGTATCATTATGGATTTTATACATTGTCTTCAAATATTATGTCTCAATTTAGTACGTTCATTTTGACTTATGTATTTAATTTAGGATTCATTTCATACACTGAAGAAGTGGGTAAAAGAATTAAAAGAACATGGTCCTGAAAACATAGTAATGGCTATTGCTGGAAACAAGTGTGACCTTTCTGATATTAGGTATATATTCTGATATATTTACTTTTTGCAGTTTTCCATTGCTTTTTCTACAATATGACAAATTCAGAAATACATTTTATATGATTTTTAAAAATTAAACCAATGCAAATAATAACAAAAATGTTATTTATTGAAATGTATTTAATCTAACACATAAACAGTTTCGAAATAACAGTCGAAGTATACTATTCCATCTTAAATATGTTTTACTGCTCTAGCCTTATCTACTTTTTTGTCCAAGTTGTTTTATTTATTCACAACTCAATCCTCAAAACTGGGATGTCTTTAATAAAACATTTGGGAATGACCTCACTATGGAGCCCTACCTTCCTTTATACCAATGTTTTTCAAACTTGGTAGCTTTTAAGACGTGTGGAGTTTAACTGCTAGAATTCCCCAGCCAGCATGCTGGCTTAGAAATACTGAACGTTGAAGTCCATGCATCTTAAAGCTGCCAAATTTGAAAAACACAACTCTATACTATTAGAATTCTGCCTTGCTCTATATTGCCACTTAGTCCTGTAACAATGGCTTTATGTTGTCCATATACTGCATCCTTTCCCACCATCCCTTTCCCACTGCTAGAAAGGGCAACAGTTAAGTTTCTGTTATTTGTCTCCAATCCATGTTCACCGGCCTTCATAGTTTTCCTCTGATTAGAAACAAACTTGAGCTTTTCTTCAAGCTCTTTCAACTACTCCAATAAAAACACAGATTTGCACCTCCATTACATATAGCTTGAGTTTTCTCCTGGCACGGAAACGAACATTGTACATACCTTCAGTATCACTGCAGAGTGTCAAATTCTGTCCATGGTACTTGGAGCTTGTTGCATATTCTGTCTGTCAGACTCCCATGCAAAATTGTATCTGTGCCTGCTTGTTTGCCTCGGTCACAATACACAAAACTAGCCTGGATGTGGTCTCTATTCTTGATTATATAAATGACTACAAATGTTTTTTTTTCTTTTTTGCATTTGTTAACTTTCTTCTGGGGAAACTACTTACTGTATGTAATCATTGAGACAGATTTGTTATTGTATATAAACTTTCTATTAGAACAAAGTTCTACTTTCGTATTTTAATAACAAATCATCTTTTTTACTGGAACATTTTAAATCTATTGCTGATGATAGATTATACAAAAAACCAGTGAACTCAACTTTTTTTTAAATGAATGGTTTTTTTGCAAAAGACGTTTTAGTAGTTTATTAACATATATACTGTAAAACAACCAGTCCTGTTACTTATTAATTATTTAATTCATTCACATATTGGATTCTGGGTGGTCACAATAATTAGAAAACATTTTATATATAAATAAAAGAATCAAACGCTTGTGCTAAAACGACTATTAAAAATCCTAATGCAAAATGCAATAAGAAGGTAAATATCAATAATCTAATTCATTATAACCACTGGAAAGGGTTCCACCTTTCAATCAGTTACATCTAGCTTTCCATACATTTTGAAAAGCAAGAGCAAATTTTAGGATAATTGGTGGACAATTTCTTAAATACCCCCCCCCCAATTAAACCAGAAAATATAATTTTAAAAAAATTATATTATCAGGATTTATTGTGTGGGATCCAAGTTTTAGGAATAAACATTTCCATATTTGGTAATACATTTTTTCTCCTAGGTGCTGCGTGGAATCTCCAAGCATGGGTTAACTTCAGCTTGCTGCCCAAGGACTGAGTTCCAAGTTTGTGTAGCCATCCCTTCTGCTCCCTTTGGAAGCTCAGTTTAAAAAACTCAGTAGCCCTAAAAGGATGCAGTTGGGGAGCTCCAGTCCTTGAGCATCAAGTTGGACTCTCCAAGCAGTGTGATTAGTGTAGCCTTTTTTCTTATTCTTGTATAGAGTAGATTAGTGTAGTTATTCACAAGGCATAAGTTCCCTTTCATTGCCTTTGCGTGGAGCAGGCTATTCGGAACGAGCCTGCTGTTCGCACCCATGTGGTTGAGGCTTCACTGGGGGGGGGGGTTGTTCAATGGCTGCTGTCAAGCCTGGGGCCAGGTAGGTAGTTAGGAGGCCCCCACCTATTTGTCGGAGGACTTATTAAGAGCTCCGGAGGCTGTTAAAAGCCTTGCCGACCTCCAGACAGCCCCCAGTGCAGTTCTGAGGCACGCGGCAGCCATTTTGGATGGTTTAAAGTGGCGTGAAAATTTATCTCGGCCGTTTCATTGCCGCTGCTGTCTCCATCAGCAGATCGCCGCTGGAAGGGGTTGCCTATGCAAGGACCTTGCTCTGGGGTGCCAGGCAGGTCCCCCCTCCCCATCAAGGACAGTATTAGAGTGGCTGCAAAGTGTTTGGCTTCCCAGCTGGCCATACATTGCTTAAAATTGGCGCAGATCTGCGGACATTCCGGAATCATTCAACAGATGCCATTTTGACCTGCTGCAGCTCATTTCAGCACTCCTGGATAGATACTGGCAGATTGGACTCAGCTCAATTGCTTTTCTAATGACAACTGTCCTGCAGTGTTGGCCTGACTGTTCCAGCTTTGGCATGGCTTCCACCAGCATAGCAGAAGACATAGCTTCAGCAGATCCTTCCTCCTTGAAACGTAGCAGGCCAGGGCCTGCCAGCATGGGGGTGGCTAAGGGGCGCCCACCTAAAGACAAGCAGCCCATAGCTAAGGGGATGTCTAAGGCTTCTCAAAGACTGGCAGAAAGGAGCCAGAAAGCCTTCGAAAAACAGTTTCAAAAGGCTCAGAGGCTTGCAAGACCTCCCTCTCCTCCTGCAGAGGCCATATCTGGGCCCCGATTGCCTCCTCCCCTTAGGGACATTTCTCCATCCCTGGCAGAGGAAGGGGATTATGATTTGTCAGTACAAGGGGACTGTTCCCTCATGGAGGAGGATGATCCCACTCTGATATCGCCTAGGCCTGGGACCAGTTGCCCAGCAGAGGACCAGGGACGCAATATGTCCACTGAGATGAAGGAGATCATTGCTAATGCGATATCTCAGGGCATAGCCAAGGGCATGAGCAGCTAGGCCAGGGCCACCCATGCCAGGCAAGACCCAAACAGGAGACGCAGGCCCTGGCTTCTTCAGCTATCAGTGAGGAGTCTGAGGCAGAAGAGAGGGATCAGGAGGATCCAGATTTGTCTGAGGATGAAAATCCTGCTCCTGATCCACCGCCTTCTCTGGATTGTTCAAGCCCTTGATGTTCAAGGCCATCCTCACCAAGGCCAGGACCTCTTCCATTCAGATGGGTCTCCCATGGCAGAGCAATAAGGACTCCACAGAGCAGGGGAATAAGGAGCCCACTGGTCTCCAGGACCCGGGGACTGGGCTTTTCAAAGAAAATGCTCCACCCCAGGAGGTAGTATCAGCCCCTCAGTTGTTCTTGGATGTGATGCAGCATCAGTGGGCGCAGCCGGGATCAATGGCCAATCCGAGCGGGGTGGACAAGTAGCTCTACTCAGCAATATGGAGGATCTTTTAAAGAAACAACACGATTGTTGCCTTGACTTCCAACTCTGTCCTTCCAATGGATTTGCTGGAAGGCCTTAAGGCAGAGGATAAGAGGGCTGAGAAGGCCTGTCATAAGACCCACCTTGCCACCGCATGGGCTATGACGGCCTCTTCCTCATCTTATTTTGACAGGGCAGCCCTTTTCTGGCTCCGTAAGCTGCAATCTAAATTGCCAGCGAGTGATACTAGAGTGTGACAGGATGTCAATAAGATTATGGCTGCAGTCAAGTACTCTGCTGATGCTTCACTCAACGCCACAAAATCTTCCTCCAGAACCTTAGCCTCCAATGTAACATTGCACCACCTGCTGTGGCGTAGACAATGACAGGCGGACATGAGGGCAAAGTGGAAACTCACTTCCACTCCCTTCAAAGGGGGAAAGCTCTTCAGGGAGGCCTTGGATTTTGTCTTAATTGAATCTAAGGACAAATGCAAGGTACTCCCAGCTGTCACCAAGAAGCCTGACCACAAAGGCTAGTCCTTTCGGAATGCAGATCTTCCAGCCACCTCTGGAGGATTTAACCGTTACTATTCCCAGACGCAGAATGGTACCCAGGACAGGGCAGTGTTCAGGAACAAAAATAGACAGCAGGGTAGATGTGAGTCCTTCCGGGGCGGGTATTCCAACCGTTCCTTTTGTAGGAATAAGTAACCGTCACCGGTCCCCTCCAATAGGGGGTTGGCTTCAACTCTATGCCGACCAGTGGGAGGAGACAACAACGGACACTTGGGTCTTGAACACAGTCTGCTACGGACTCACCTTAGACTTCCTCGGATCTTTGTTCGTTGTCCATTCCCAAGGTCAACGTATAAACGCCAGCTGATGCAGGCAGAGATCACCCATTTGCTCGAAATAGCAGCCCTAGAGCAAGTTCCCCCGGGCAAGGAACGGAGGGGCTTCTACTCCATCCTCTTCCTGGTCCCCAAGTCCTCGGGAAGGGTGAGAGCCATACTGGACCGCAAGAAACTCAATATCTATCTGGCGCACAAGTGCTTCAAGATGCAATCACTCCAGACCATCTTGGATTGCATCAGGCAGGACGACTGACTTCCTGATGTCAATCGACCTGAAGGAGGCCTATCTGCATGTTCTCATTCATCCAGCGCATCACAAGTTTCTGAGATTCCAATTTGCAGACCAGCACTTCTAGTACAAGGCTCTTCCCTTCAGCCTTCCATTGGCCCCCAGGACGTTTACCAAACTTCTGGCTGCTGTCGCTGCACGTCTTTGATCTCATCCAGTGAGACTCATTTGTTATCTGTACGACATCCTGCTGATGTCATCACGCAGGGAGCAGGCGTGTCGGGATCTCAGCGTCACCATACGCACACTCGAACAACACAGCTTTTCCATAAATCTGGAGAAAAGCCACCTGTCGCCAAGCACCAGAATCCAGCATCTGGGCAGTGATCGACTCCAAACTCTGCAAGGTGTTCCTCACACAAGAGAGAATGGATAGCATCACATCCCTCGTGCGTCACGTCCGGAGGTCCAGATCGGCACCTCGTCACGCTAGCCCAGCTGCTGCGGAAGTTGATCTCATGCATCGCAGTGATCTCCTGGGCACAGCTGCATGCATGGGAGCTTCAGTGCTTCCTGCTTCCAATTCAACGGCTCAAGGCCAGCAACTCCAAGAGGGTGGTGAGCATTCCTCCACGAGTGCTCCGGTCACTCAAGTGGTGGCAGACAACAGCACTGAAGAAGGGATCCTTCTTCAAGGAACCAGAACGTCTGGTCATAACAACAGATGCCAGCTTGTATGGCTGGGGCGGCCACCTACAGACACACATGATGCAGGGCAGATGGTCTTCAGTGGAGCTCGCCCACAACATAAATTGGCTGGAGTTCAGGGCCACCAGATTAGGCCTGTGCCATTTCTGGCGGCTCATTGAGGGTCTCACGTCCTCATATTGACGGACAATATTGCCACCAAGGACTATGTCAATCACCAGGGCAGAACTCAATCGAAGGCCCTGATGTCGGAGGCAGAAGCCCTGGGGTGGTTTGCAGAACGCCATCTCTGGTCCATAAGGGCGGACCACATTTCGGGGGAGGAGAACGTGACAGTGGACTGGCTCAGCAGAATGACCATCAGCAATTCAGAATGGCGACTTCATCCGTCACTATTTCACCAACTGACCCAGAAGTTCAGCCTTCCGACAATAGACCTGTTTGCCAGTACAGAGAACACACACCTCCCCAGGTTCTTTTCAAGATTCCAATGCTCCGGCGTGGAAGGGATGGGCGCTCTTTGATGCTGCTGGCCTCCCGGCCTGTTATATGCCTTTCTGCCTCTTCCAACGATCCCTCAAATGATCGGGAAGAACTTGCTGGACGGAGCTGAAGTACTGCTAGTCGCCCCGCACTGGCCAAGGAGGTTCTGGTTCTCCAACCTTGTCAGCCTGTCAGTGACCAAGCACTGGTGCATACCTCAGGAGCAGATCTCCCTCAGCCAAGGGGCCATCCCACACCCGGACCCTCAATGACTCCAATTAGCCATGTGGCACTTGATGGGGACCTCCTGAGGCAGGACAGCTTTTCTGACAAGATCATCCGCACCATCCAGGCGTTTAGGAGACCTACTGTGTGGATCTATGATGCAACATGGACTATCTTCTCCTCTTGGTGTCACTCCCATCACATCAATGCCACAGCAGCAACAATTCCACAAATCCTGGACATCCTCCAGGAGGGGTTGGACAGGGGCCTCACCTCCAACACACTTTGGAAGCAGATGGCAGCTCTAGCCACCATCTTGTCCAGAGACAATTCTCAACCGCTCAGCAGATACCCAAGGGTTTGCAGTTTCCTAAAGGGGCTACCAACATACGCTCTGCGACAGTACACCGTTATCCAACTTGGGACTTATTGATTGTCTTGCAGACAATAACATCGCCACCATTCGAACCAATTCATAGTTAGTCTATGGCATTTGTCATTCAAAACTACCTTCCTCATAGCCATCACTTCAGCGCGCAGAATTTCGGTGCTAGCTGCACTCTCCGTTAGAGAGGACCTTTGTGTTATACATTCGGAGAGAGTCATTCTACGATTGGATCCAGCATTTCTACCAAAAATTAACCTCTTATTCCACAAAACACAGGAGGTCATCCTCCCCGACTTCTGCCCACACCCCAGTCATCCCAGGGAGCGTGTCTGGCACAAATTGGATGTGCGCTGCACTGTGCGGGTATACAAAAAGAGGACAGCTTCTTTTCGCAAGTCAGAATCGTTCTTCATATCATTCCAGCCCACCTCAATGGGCAGGAAGGTATCATCTTCCACCATAGGTCGTTGGCTGTGCACGTGCATTAAGCTGGCTTACGAGCAACAATCCAGGCCTGTTCCTCCTCGTATAACAGCACACTCCACAAGGAGTGCCATGACTACGGCTGCTTGAGCCACTCAAGCGCCTAGTGAAGAGATCTATAGGGCAGCTACCTGGTCCTCACCGTCACTGTTCATTTGGAATTACAGACTGGACTCCTTTGCATCTGCAGAGGCTTCATTTGGAAGGAGAGTTTTACAGCAGGTCCTCGCGGGTCCTACTAACCAGGACTTTCCTTCTTCCCATGCTGGTACTACATAGTTTGGATATGTCCCATGCTTGGACACTCCAAGCAGTGTCTAGGAGAATGACTGTTGGCTTACCTGAATGGTCGTTCTCTAGGTGCTGCAGGAGTGTCCAACCACACCCTGGGGTCACCTGCGGGCACGTGAATCATCACCTCCATGGCATAGACCTTACAGCATCCTTCTAGTTCTCATACCTTTGTTTTTTTAAACTGAGCCTCTAAAGGGAGCAGGAGGCGTGGCTACACAAACTTTGAACTCAGTCCTTGGGCAGCAAACTGAAGTTAACCCATTCTTGGACACTCCCGCAGCACCTAGAAAACAACCAGGTAAGCCAACGGTCAATTTCATTTATGAATTATTGTTCAAAATGGCATTTCCCCTAATTTTATACTCACACCAACAAACCTGTTGGACTAAGAGCAAGGGACTAGTCCAGCCTTACTAGTTGAGCTGTGTAGTGGAATGAGGGCTAAACATTGGTTTCTCTGCTCCTAATCCCACACCTTAACCACAATAACTGTATGAAATCCTTCATAGTTGATCAGGATTTGACTTATATCTTACCTTAATCAATATATTTCAAGAAACATTTAGGAATAATAATGAAAAGGAATTAAAAATGTTATAGCATGTTCTCATAGATTTACTTTACAAAATTAACAGTTGCAGGCCATGCTATTTGGTTACAAACTGTAGTCAAATGGTCGGAACAAAATCACATAGTTATAATTCTAGGTTATTGTTTTTTTCTTTGATGGAACCACATGATTTCCTGCCATTAGATGTTCATGCACAGTGAAGCCCTTTGTGTATTCATAAGTTAATATTTTTTATTGCTTTAAGTTCTTTAAAATTATGTCTATTAATTTAAGACCAAAACAATAATATTGAATTCTAAGGCTTTAAATAATCTTATTTTTGATGTTTGGGCAAAGATTCCATTTCTCAAGTTTTCATTAGCTTGACTATATTTAGATTTGTAAAAAGAAGAGGAAGAGTAGGAAAGACTAACCAAACATGAGAATGCAAAACCAGAAGCAGCCTTCTGCAACTCTTACGAAACTTTATACTATAAGGTACAAAATACTTCATCTTATAATAAAAATTAACCTAGATCAATTTCCATTTAGTATTAGGTCCATGTAGGGTGGATGGTTTCTTTCATTTTCTTTGTTCTTTGTAATGGAAGAAGTTAAAGCATTTAAAAGATTAAAGTTCAGAAAATAATTTTAGTGGGAAAGTATAAAAGGGAAAGATTATTGTAATTTATTTTAATGGAGATGTTTAAAGTAGTACCAAAATAAGGAGTTTAAGAAGGTAAAACTATAAAAAAAATCTATAATTATGCATCGGGGAATATAACACTCTATAGAGGGAATGCTTGAGACATCCTAGTATGGCAAATAATGTTTTGCTCCAGATTCAAATAAGGTGAAATATTTTTTAATTAAGGTCGCTATTAATTTTAAATTTATAAAAATCCAAACATTAATTTTTAAAATATTTATATATACAAGACTTTTTCACTAGTTTGTTTACTGAACCAAATGCCACTTATATTCTTTTAGGAAATACAAAATAAGTTGAAAAAATGTGATTTATAGTTTATTTACGTGGTAGGTTAGAGCCCAAGAAAAAGGAAAGTGTGAAGCATAATTAAATATTAAAATTTCCAATAGTTTTATGATTTATGTGAAACATGGGGAATTTTTAACCTTTCAAAGTGAAATATTAAATTTTTTTAAGGGAATATCAAGATATATTTCATACATGGATCATTCTAAAACAGCATTTGCAGGCTTTGTAAAGTTCCTATAAGGAACTTTTACATATTCCTGTTTTGCAAAAATGCATTAGCATACAACACAAATACATTATCTGATTCCTTTAACACGAAGATCTATAAAACACTGCATATGAAAAATATTTGTAAAAAGTTAAAACCTGAGTTATTTCAAAATAGCAAAGATAAAATAATAGTTGAAAATAAAAGACTTTGTATTCAGTGATCAATTAATTATATAAATAGGTTTGAATTTTCCTTTAAAATGCTCATTAAATTATTAACTGAACTCTGATTGAATTTTTAATACATCTTAAAAAATGTTATTATTCTGATATAAGACACTTATGGAACAAATAAATAAACAAACAAACCCAGCAGCTGGGATGTCTAGGAGTTATAGATAACTATTTTCTTTAAAAAGAAAGATAGACAGATCCTAATGCTGTCAGAAAACACTCACAGATTTTGTACTGTATTACACTGGACAACAAAAGAATTTTGTTCAAACAGCCTCTTTCCATCATCTAGATTTAGGGAGAACAATTATAAGAGTAATTATATTTCTCATATGAGAAACAAGAAATGAATATTTACCCTGTTCAAATTATGAAGAATTTTATAGTTGAACCACAACAACTTAATTTAAACTTCTAAAATTTTATTTTAGGGAGGTACCTATGAAAGACGCCAAAGAATATGCAGAATCTATAGGCGCAATTGTTGTTGAGACTAGTGCCAAAAATGCAATTAACATTGAAGAACTCTTTCAAGCAATCAGTAAGTAAACTTAGAATTTGTTTTTGCATATTTAAGCTTGTACAACTTAAAAAGTTTTGTTATTTAGGTCACAGCTTGGCTAAAGCCCTAATTTATTTTTCATGAAAGCACAACAATGAAAGAGACAATTGTTTCAGAGAATCATATAGATATACTTCTAGAGCAGTATTATTCAAAATATTTCACCTTATACTAATTCAGAATGAATTATTTTTATGTTATAAATTCAGGAATTAATATTTTAAAGAATATTATAGCATATATCCTTAATTACTGAAACTTTGGAGATTGGATGGGTATCCTACCAATCTCTTATTTAAGTTTACCACTACAGAGCAATCATTTTAAACAATGAAGCTGGGAAATAATAAAGGCAAAAGAAAATTTCTGCTGATCAGTTAGCAGAAAAACAAGCAATAGAAGAAATAGGTCCCCAAACAAGCATAAAACACACCTTAGCGTAAATTCAATATATTTCCATGATCTGCTGGAAGTTTATTTTTTAGTTTAAAGATTTAAAAGCAAAAAATAATCTCTCTGAACATATCCTGCGATTGATTAGGGTCATAATAAAGAATATAGGATTCACCTTCCATATCATATAGGAAATCCTATATTGTAGCTAGGAAACCCTATTTTCAAGTATTTAGAGAAGCTAAGGTTTTAACAATTGTATATATTTTGTTTTATTTATTTATTTTTTGCCTTTAAAGGCCGGCAGATTCCACCTTTAGAAACTCATGAAAATGGCAACAATGGAACAATCAAACTCAGGAAACAGACTGCTCAGACAACACGAAGATGCTGTTAAACAAACCAGAATTGGTTTAATGCACTTGAAAATAGAACAAGATCATTTATTTATTGAACCACGGACTTCAGAAAGCCAACAACATGGTACACTCTCTAAAAACAGTAGTATCAGTATTCTTTATTGATGGGATTAGTAGGAGAGAAATGTCCTTCCAATGAGTTCTGCAGAATTATGTAGGCAATTCATTTGAGCAGTAAACTGGTTGAAACAATGACTCAGATTATTTGAAATAATCTGTTTAAATCGTTGACTATTCTAAAGAAGCAATAAGTACATTTTTTTTACAAATCTTTTTTGTATTTTCAGTATGTTTCACGTTACGTATAATTTTACAGAATTATAATATACCATATTTTAATCAAACGAAGAACATTTTATTTTACTGAATTTGGCTTCTATGATTTTTTAGAGGTATATTTTTAAAGGTATAAATGAGGTACTTACACTTCTGCATCCAATGCAGAAAAACATCTAGTGACAATAATAATTCAAGTAAATGTTAAACTGTTACTTCTGCATTGGAAAAGCAAAATCATTGAAATGCAAACACTTGTAAGAGACAGAAGCAGAGGTCTGCAGATGTTAAATGCAAGCAGACATTTCATCAAAAGCCAAAAAAGACCAGGATACACTTTCTATTGAATTCATCCAAATTTGAAATAACTTAACATCAATCTGACAGTCTGAATACATCAGTTCTATATTTTTATTTTTTCTTGTTCTTTACCTTTAGTGTAGTTATCTGCATCTATATCTTTGATCTGCCTGTTTCTTACTTAGTAACAATACAGATGCAAGGTGGAGTCCAAGGAAGTTGAAAACAATACAACCTTTTTTTTATCCGAGTCCTTTTTGTAATAGATTGAGTAAAGCTAATACCATACCAAGCTAATGCAAACAACAGCCACCACTCATTAAAAGACCTCAGTACTGTCAGCCCTCCCAGATACATCAGAAAAGAAACACAACTAAATGCCATGACTCAGTTTCCAGACTGAGAAACTTCATCAACATATCGCCATGCAATTTGGGGAGGATCAGTACACTCCAGTTACTTGTTCAGACTGAGAAAGCTGCTTGGATGAGGAGCAAAACATCTGAAACCAACAAGGAAATAAATCCAGTTGCCATGACTCAATTTCCAGACGACAAGATGAACTAATTCTACTTTATTGTAAGGTTACATTAATAAAATCTTGCAAGTCTGAAAGTACAGTGGTACCTTGGTACTCATTGTTAAATGGTTTGGGGAGGCATGACAAGTGCTAAAAATGACGAGTGCCAAACAAGCCACAAGGCTTACCATGCCACTCTTTGTTTCGGCCAAGAAGGAATTCCTGTCTGTCCCCTTTCCTATGTCAGTATGGCAAACTTCCTGTCTGCCTTCTGCAGCTGACCTTCCCAGGTTGGCTGACTTCCTGTCCATTCTTCACAGATGCCCCCCTTTAACAATCACAGTGCATCAAGTATTAGACAAAGAATGAGTACTGGGACATTTTTTTTGTGTGTGTCAAAATGTGCTACATAGCCAATTTAACGAGTTTTGAAGGCATTGAGCACCGAGGTATCAATGTACATACTTCTCACCACCACTGTTAATTCCTTGAAACATTAAAGTGGGTTTTTCCTAAGTTTCCTTAACTGTTAAGCACTGGGGACTCCTGCCTTTCTTGTTGGATTGTTTTCTAAATAGCATATCTTCCCCAAGGTTATTCACACATTCCATTACAGTAGTGATATATTTTATTTCATACTTCCTTTATTGTAAATTGCATATATGTTGAAGTTGCTACATGTTTAGTAAACTAATAAAGATTCCATCGTAAAAATTTATAATAGTAAAAGGTGACAAATATTCTATAGATGCATTTTTTCTATGTTCTTATGCAATGAAACAAAATCTGTCTATATGGTCTTTTAAGAGTCAATCCGGATTTGATCATACATAATTAGTTCTGCATAGATAATAATTAGTTCTGCATATATGACACTGATCTACAGGGTAGAATCATAGAAGAAATATCAACTACTTAGTTTGACTACCTGCTTGAAGTAGCATATTTATATTTCTTGTTATTATAGAATTGAACGTTGAAGTTGTGGAGGCACAAAATATTTCCATGTAGAAATGAGGAGCTCATGTTGAATCATAATTTTCAACATAATATGTTTCAGGGCGGCTATAGAAACAAAAAAGTCCTTGAAAACTCTTTTTGAACGAATAGAATAGATTTTCTGCGAAGATGTTTCGATGTTCATTCTTCTATTATACAATATAGACGTTTAGGTAAACTGTTCTTTTGACAGTAAAAACAGTCAAATTAAAATAACTGCCTAATATAGCATAAAAGAAAGTTGTGATTATCTTTTTTTGAGAATAATTAGTGAATAACTTTTGGGGGATTGATATTTTCTGCCAAAATTCATATCCAATTTTGCTAAGAAGATTGACATTAGAAAAAATAGTATATTAAATCATTTAGGGCTCATTCTTTGCAAAAGTTCAGCCAAATATTTACTTCTATACATAGCGCTGTGGTTTATAAGAAAAAGTAAATATCTGAGAATCAAGTTCATACATAAAAGTTAACATGGAAAGAAAACAAAGCTTAGTATCAATATTTTACAGAGCAACTTCAGGAGCTGTGCAATTCAATGAAAAGATAACAAAAAAATAAGGCAATATTGCATCTAATTATGTAGTAGTAAGCCCAATCAATACCATGTGACATTTTCCCAAGTATGTATTCATTCAATTGCAGAGCTTCTGAAATTGCCATTGTAAAGTATTAATAGGAAGCTTTGTTTTCTTTCCATTTTAACTTTTATGTATGAAGTTGGCAGGTTATATTAATTTGATTTCTAGTTTTGTGTTTGGTATTGTAGTTAAGGTGAAGCAAAACAAATCTTACTATAAAAATAAATCCAAATCTTCTTAGTTGAGTGGGAAATGAACATGTTTCATATCCCTCTTAACTGGGAGAAAAATTCTATATCACAAAACAATCCTTAACTTCAGATTACACCTGGATTTGCACAACATGCTAGGCCAAAATATGTTGTGGAAATGTGGTTTATTTATAATTGAAAATATATGAACTAAGGGAATGGGTTAATTTAGTAAATTATGTTTCAGCTAATTACGAGTGTTGTGCGAGCAAAGCAAAATAAAGAGACATGGGGCCACAAACAAACATTTCTATCTACAATTTCTGAGGGCCATCCATTAGATTCAGAAGAAAATTCTTGAAAATGAACCCTCTGCACATATTGGAACTGGAGTAATGTGTGTAGGGTGAATCCCTACTATTCAGGTTCAATACTTGGGATTGGTTTTATGATGTTCCACTGAAAAGTTTTCTGTAAAAAAAATTATCTAGAATCAATTCTTGCCTTTAAAACAATAACGAAGGTAGAGAAAATAAGACCCTTATGTGTGTATCCTGTAATCTACCTCTTCAGATTCCAAAAGGACTCATAAACAGTCTTTGGAATGAGAATAATTGGTAAAATGAAATAAAGTTTCACTTCAGTAGGTTTCATTGCTATTTTCTCCATAAATAAAGTAGCATACCTGTTTGTGTGCTAGGTAGTATAAGATGGCATGAAAATTTATCTTTCTAGAAATGGCAGAATTATGTTACTCAAGCAAGAGAATCAAATTATTTTTTCTGTTAAGTATTCACAGATTCACAGGTGTGCAAAAAAATTTTTTTTGAGAGCTGTTTTGGTTATTCCACGTAATCATGTTTTTGGTGCGCTGAATCCGAAAATGACCTCCATTTTGTCATCACATTTCCTGACAATTTAGGTAACTATGTTAAATAAGGCAATACCTCAAAATAAATGGAAACAGACTTATAAAAT